TTTTTTTTTTTTTTTTTTGGGGCTGGGGGAAAATTTTAAGAAGCTGAAATAACAAACTCAGAAAATCGACAAAGACAACTGGAGCACTGCACAGTGTGTGGCTACATCTCTCTGCCTCTGACCCGCCGGGTGCCTTGGTAGCTAGGCACATTTATAAAACTTCAGCAGCCTCTGGCTAAACCAACAGCCAGCTTTGCTGTTTTTTAAAAACAAATTGTGTCCCAACAACATGTCACCTGAGTTGGAAGAGAACAACCACGGTGAGTATGATTTAATGACCTCCACTTCTTTTATAATGGCTTATTGTTTACCATATGATTCAACCGCTAGCTACACCATAACCACATGCTGATGAATTGAAGCATCCCTGCATCAGCCTGTGACATTATTCATTAGAAGAGCAACCCCACACCGCCAGCACTTAACCTGCCTCAGTCTATATGTCTCATCACAATTTGCATACACTTAAGAATAAATATACCCTTCACACCAGAGCTGACTCACCTGCATTGAAGTCATTTTAAAGCTAAATTAGGTGCCGAAGAAGGGTCACTACTGGTGAATACTGAAGGATATTTATTCCCCCAGAACAAATCATTGTCAAGTTTTACGTCAGTGTTGTGAGAGCATCATCATTTAGGCTTGGTGAGGCTTATTAGATTAGGTGACTGTGTTTCTAAATAATAGATGAGTATTTAGGTTGGTATTCTAAACATAGACCCCATTTGTGCGCAAGAAAAATACATTTTTATTGCCTTAATCATCACATACTGTGTGTAGCTGTTCCTTACACAAGTGATCCTAAATCACAGGTATCCTCTAAATAAGTTGCTCTATAGATGCTCACATCCCTTCCTTACCTTCCCCACTTTTTTCCTCCTCCTCTGTTCACACACCCCCTCAAACTGCTCTGATCTGGATTCAGCTGCCTCGCTTTGCATCCAGCACAGAGCGGCTGACTGATATCTTGGAATGGCACTAATGAAGTGACACGTTGCTTTTGTTTGTGTCTGAGTGTTAGTGCATGCGTTTGTTCGGCGGTGTGTGTGTGTGAAATAGAGAAAATGAAATTAAGTGACAGAAGAGCTTGAGATATACCTTGAACAGGCTCTCTGCTGTGTCGTACCGCAGCACACTAATCACTCTGTCTGTGAGACAGGCACATCGGGGGAGGCATCAGTGATGACAATACAACTGCAACACGATTTCTGCCCGTATACTATGTGTGTCGGTTCAGTTTACACAATAAATATACATTTAATGTGTTGGGCGAGATGTATTTCAGCCCTGTTATGGCTTGGTGGAGGTCTGTTATAATTGGCTATGGTTGAACTGAAGCTGTATTGCAATGAATGCAAACCACGCAGTTTCCCTTTTCCATTCAGTGCAAGCCTGACCCAAGAGACAGTCTCCAGTGCTGACGTATGACGTGAAGGGAAGTTGTGCTATGAGTGGTTTTTCCTCTCTGATAAAAATTGTGGATGTTTTATTAGTATTATCCAGACATACTGATTCCTGCTTATCTTTTCCCATTCATTCTCCATGTCTCCTATCTGTGCTTCATTCATCTGATCCTTTTACATCTCTTTCCTGTCCAGGTGAAATCAGTCTCCCCCAGTTAGAGGCAGGGACCCTGTCCGAGGAGGAAGGCGGGTCTGCTCGCCCCCTCGTGCCGGTGCCTGGAGCGGGCCCAGGGTGCGGTGATGGCGGAGGTGCTGGCCCACTGCAGACCCAGGACGGGGCTGCAGCTGGGACTGGAAATGGGGCTGTGGCAGTACCACCGGTGGAGAGAGAAACTTGGACCAGACAGATGGACTTCATCATGTCCTGCGTGGGTTTTGCTGTCGGCTTGGGCAACGTGTGGCGGTTCCCTTACCTCTGCTACAAGAACGGAGGAGGTGAGCTTCAGGAGCACTGTGTAGTTAATGTAGTTCTCTTCGCGAACATATGAGGAGTATCACTATAAAATCTGTCCAAAATCACAGATGACTAGTTACTTCATATGAAATAGTGAGTTTGGGTATGAACTCATCCTTCAAACTATAGTATACAAGGTTCACGACGTCTTCCCAGTATGATCCATCATTATTGCCGCCAACCTGGCCAGTGAAGGCAGTGTCATCTGCAAACTTAATAATTCACTTTCATAAGGTTTGGAGATGCAGTCATGGTTTCGCAGGGTGAACAAAAGTAGACTGAGCACACAGCCCTGAGGGGCACCTGAAGGTGTTGTGTCATCTGCAACAAACGTTGCGTCAGTTAACATTTAGGAACTTTTACTTCTCCTTTTCTTGTGTCGTGTGCCAATCTCAGCTGTTTGGGGTCTGTTGGTGAGGCAGTCCAGTATCCACTAAGACTCGTGCTGAACTTGTCTATTTGAGTCATTTGTGTTGAATGTGCTGAGCTGAAGTCTTCAACACTTATAAAAAGATTTAGAGCTACTGTTGTCTAGCTATAAGAATACAATACTCACTTTCAAAGAGAGAATCGTTGTAGTTTTTTTACCTTGGTCAGTTTTAGATAAACTTAGGTGCTTCTGACAGTCGGTAGGACAACAGTGAAAAGTAGCATGGCGAGACGTAATACTGTAATATGCGTAATAGGTAGAGAATCCGGGCCTGCGTGGCTGTGAGCACGTACTGTAGCTGAAAAGCTGCGCCCACCCACGTGGTTTCACTTTATTTATTATAGCTGCTCGTTGCTTAACACACGGACTTAGTACAGTCACAGTGTTCTTGCTTCCTCACTGGCATATAAAGTTATTTGTGTTGTTGTGTAACCTTCCCATTATCCTCTCCTTTTTCATTCATGCCAGCTTGTCCAATAGTAAACTGCCTCGACTGCAGCTTTTGGCCTTGGCTTCTCTTATCTCTGCCCTACCCACTTTTCTATTTTTTTATGAGGCATTTCGTTGAAATGAAATGGAATACGTGGCTGTGTGTGTGTGTGTGTGTGTGTGTGTGTGTTTGTCTGTCTTAGTCCAACCCTCCCTCTCCCTCATGTGTGTGTGTCTTGTGACCCATGGCTCTGATACCCACCTTCTGGTATCGTATAACAATGGGCTGCCTCACACAGTCCACCCCCTGTGCTCCTGCCCAGCACTCACGTAGCATACAAAGGTGCTCTCTCCCACTCACTTCCTGATAAGGAGGCATATGGATATGTCACACAATAACTGTCCTGTGACTGTGCACGTCCATTCCTCCTCTCAGCGTCAGCGCAGCCACATCCACTACAGTACTTCGTTTTACGTCTTTGACCGACCCTGGGTACACCTTGTAACACCACGGTGTTATCAGATAAGGGCTGGGGCTCTTAGTCAGAGCTCCTTGTTACTGAAACAAGGACACGCTCCATTGCAGACCGTAATAGATGAATGTATTATAAATGCGTGGAATTAATGCTCTGCAAATCTCACTTATTTATTTATTTGTAACTCGTCTGCTCGGCCTGATGTGTCTGGTCCAGTTATGATTAGAGAGGATTTACTTAAGCCTATTAAGGATGCAGTTCCTCGATGATTTGGCCAATATGTCGGGGTATGTCAGCCCGAGCATTTTCTCCATTCATTCCATTCACGCCTCCTATTGCATCTCTCTCTCTCTCTCTC